AAAGTTTATTTTTAATCTTGGTGAAACCACTCAGTTAAAGAAAGGATAAATGAGGGGAAAAAAGCAGAAATAAAATCTCTGTCCCCCCATTACTGGGAGATTAAGCACATAAGCAGCACTGTAGTTAAAACGGACTAAAACTGTTAAGAATGATAACATGTATGAAGAGAGGATAACATTGATACAATGTCAACCCCACAACTGGAGGCCAGCGTGAGACTGATGTTCGCAAAAGCCATTACTAAATGTCTACTTCTGTCTGGTTAAAGCTGTATTTATTCTTTATCTGCAGCTTGAACGTTAAATGTGTGATATTATAAGAGAAGCCGATGGTTCATGATTAAACGATTGCATCACTCTGTTAGAGGATTAAGACATCCACAAAAAGAGATTAATTTTATATCCATGTTAATGTTGAGTGTCAGGCATCCAAAACCAAAAGATAAAGAAAGGGGAGAAAAAAATTGATACGTGAGACTTCTGATTGGTTCCGTAGGACTTGGCGCTGAAGCACTAGCGCCATCTCCTGGAAGAAGAGATTATATGGTTACAGACACATTCTTCAGAGCTCAGTCCTGTGTCCACTTTTGAAAGCATTGGGATGTAAAAAGCAGGTGAATAAACCATGTGCACCAATTAAACTTGACCTCGTTCTCATCAGTTTAGCCTGGTGACCACTCCTCTTCAACCAAAAGCAATCGAAACTCACCGCTTATTCCTCTGCTGCTTGAGAACATTTGGGCATTGCGGGCCATTGCAGCAGACATCTAGGTTACATGGACAAAGGATGGGGCTGCACTGCACATAATGATGTCATAACAGGACCACAGCTACACCGAGTGAGATCAAAACAGGAGTGTAGGTGCCCACAGTGAGGGCATAAGAGCAGCGTACATACCAAAAGTAAAGTCTTAAGAGGAGTGTAGCTACAAAGAGTGAGGTCATAACAGTAGTGTAGCTACAATGAGTGAGGTCATAACAGTAGTGTAGCTACAATGAGTGAGGTCATAACAGGAGTGTAGTTTCAGAGTGAGGTCATAACAAGAATGTAGGCACATAGACTAAGGTCATAACTGGAGTGTAGGTAACCAGAGTGAGGTCAAAACACGAGCATAGCTACACAGAGTGAGGTCATAATAGGAGTAGGGTATATAATGTGGACATAATGTGGACATAAGGGGAGCCTAGGTACCCAGAGTGAAGTCATAACAGGAGTGTAGCTACAAAAAGTGAGGTCATAACAGGAGTTTACACACCCAGAGTGACATCAGAACAAGACTGCAGCTATACAGAGTGAGGCCATAGCAGGAGTGTAGCTAAACTGAGCGAGGAAATAACAGGTGCATGTCCACACAGAGTGAGCTCGTAACGTGAGGGTAGGTCAGCAGAGTGAGGTCATAACAAGAGTGTGGATACATAGAGGGAAGTCTTAAGAGGAGTGTAGCTACAAAGAGTGAGGTCATAACAGGAGTGTAATTACACATAGTGAGGGCATATCAAAACTGTAGGTACACAGATGACGTCAAAACAAGAGTTAGATCGTAAAAGGAGCATAGCTACACAGAGTTAGGCCATAGCAGGAGAGTAGCTACACAGAGCGAGGTCATAACAAGAGTGGAGGTACACAGATAAAGGTTATAACTGGAGTGTAGTTATACAGAGATCATACCAAGAGTGTGGCTACACAGAGTGAGGTCTTCACAGGTGTGTAGCAACACAGAGTGAGGTCATAACAGAAATGTTGCTACCCAGCATCAGGGCATAATAGGAGTGTAGGAAACGAGAGATACGTCTTAACAGGATTGTAGCTGTACAAAGTGAGGTCATTACAGGAGAATAGGTACAAAAGGTGAGGTCACAGAGTGGGGTCACAACTGGAGTGTAGCTACCCAGAATGAGGTCATAACAGAAGTGTAGCTACACAGAGTGAGGTCATAACAGGAGTGTGAATACACAGAATGAGGTCAGTACAGGACTGTAGCTACACAGACCAAGAACATAACAAGAGTGTAAGAACCCAGAGTGAGGTCATGACTGGAGTGTAGCTAGACAGAGTGAGGTCATGACTGGAGTGTAGCTAGACAGAGTGAGGTCATGACTGGAGTGTAGCTAGA